GGCCATTTTCACGTCGTCTTTAACCAAGGGTGGGTAGTAGCGAAGTAGTTGTATAGTTCGCTACTGTAGCGAACTACAATTTTCAAGTAGCCAGTAGTTTTTGACTACTTTTTTAAAACAGTAGCTGTAGTAGTGTAGTTATAGCGAACTACATTTTGCCTAAAAGTAGCCACGTAGTTGACTACTTTTCAAACAGCGAAGCGCTATTCGCTACTTTTTAAAATCGTTAGCAACTTGATAGAATAGCACGATATTGAGACATGGTTTGCTTAAAATCAATACTCAATAGTCAATTTTCACGCTTTGTGTTTACTGTTGCTACTCGCAAGTCGATTTGTTATAGGTTACATTTTAGCATGAGTTAGTAGATGCTCGGCCAAATTGCAGTAAAACTAAAAAATATAGCGTAGCGAAATAGTTCGCTACATTTTTTAAGCAGTAGCTGTAGTCAGTACTCAGTAGCGAACTACCTTTGTTCAAAAGTAGCAGTGGTTGTAGCTGACTACATATTTTTGAAGTAGCTGTAGTTATAGCCGAGGTTATAGCGAACTACAAAAATTTTGTAGTCAACCCACCCTTGTCTTTAACGTCCGCGTCCTCGATCCGAAATCTACCTAATTTCAGACGGCTGCCGTAGACTCGTCACTCGCCATAGTAGTTCGCGTTGCAAGTATTTATAACGTTATTCTGTTTGAATTTGCTGATGGAAGAAATCAATTGGTTATATGCGCACCGGCAGCTGGTTTGGCATGAAGACTATAATTCATCACTGGTATGTGCTTATGCCAATTTCGTCTCCGTAAGCGCAAAACATTATAGTAGTTTGATCATTTTTCATATTCACTGTACTCTCATATTTTGCACTTGGAGTTGCTCCAGGCCAGATAAGTAAATATACATAGCACGTGGTAAACATACGTTCCTTAAGAAAATACAAAATAACAGTGGCTCCGAATAACATTTTGATTTTTAATGAGAATGAAAATTTTGATTAAAAATCAAATCATAGGCTGCTCGTGGGCACTTTTTTGTTCTTACCAAATATGACATCATACTGTGTATCTATAACTTGAGACAACGGGAAAATGTAATCTATTTGTTAAATAGACCAGAGTGGCTGAAAAAATCTGTTGTGATATTCCCTTCGCCCCTTCAATTAAAACTCTTTCCTCCAATGTCTCCCTTTATCCCCCTCCCCGCGAATTTAATAAAGCGACTGGGGATGAGGCAGGAACAGCGCTGCCCCTGACTTTCGCTTGTTTAAGATAGGTACAGTCTGGTCTGCGCATGCGCACCTAGGAGTCTCCGGTGCCATATTTACATCATCTGTTCTGGTGATCAGGTTCAACCGTTCAGGCAGACGGTGATATCAAATATTCATCAACAGGAACTAATACAATATAGTTGGCGAAGGTCAAACCCGCCAACTCTCAACGACAAAGTCTTTAAAGAAATCTGTTTCAAGTTTTATGCAACAAAAATTCGAGCTAAATAATGAACTGCTTTTTGACACATTTAATCCATAATAATCAGGAAACCTGAGAAATTTCAAAAATCTCACGTTTTGCATAAAATCGCACGACTTTGTAATGATTGTAAAAGACAGTGGGGGTTGGCAGGTCTGAAAATTATAACTATGCGGGCATCGTACTTACTACACCCACGTTTGGCAACATATGTGTATTAATGGGTTGGCTCGTAAAACCGAGCTATGCCATTTCACAGTGAGGCCGGGCTAGCTCAGCAAGTCCCATACATTCCCGCGTGGACTTTAGGCGGGAATGCGATATTTGTTCTAATTTTGCAAATTTGTTTATTAATTGACGGAACTGCCTATTTCTTATAAGTTTTAGATACTTTTTTATTGGTGGAATAAAGCGAGGGGTAATGAAAAGCGTACGAATATTTTTGGGATTAAAAAATCCCTGCAATGGCTTTCTTGGGATTTGGGGATTTTTTGCAAAATTGTCAGGAATTTTGCGATTTTTTCATGATCATGTTTTTTTCGAAATATTTTCTATTTTTTTTGGCGTTGAATTTTTTCGGCTAACGCTTTCCGAAATGCAGAACTTTATATAAACAATCATTTACAAACACGTGTTTTTCGCCAGTTCAGTCCCGATCCTCATGTGATAAATTTTTTTTATAGCCGTACATACAGCTATTTCAATTAAGGTTGCCATGAGCAACAAATATAGTCAAATGTACCGCTATATACAGCTAGGGCGTCCAAAAAAACAAACCAGAAGGCTATTTTTAAATGATGTATTGTAAGAATTTGAATGCCTCAGCACTCTGCATGCTGAACCCACAAGTGCATAAAAGCTTGAAATAAGTAAATTTTATGCACCTGAAAGAAACTGTTTATAAGAAGCAATTCCCAAGAAAAAGAGTAGAAAATCGTGCGCTTTACAAAGATATGTAGAGTCGCGATCTTTCTCAACTGCCAGTTTATAATTAATAATTCATATCTGTGAAGTGTAAACCCATATAAATCACAAATATTCTCTAGTTATAATCACTCCGCGTATTTTCAGTTTTAAAATTGACCGTTGAGTATTGTCGCTGAGTCGCTGACAACCTAGCTTAATTGAAATAGTTGTTTTTAGCGATCCATAACGAACTTAGCAGGCAACCAGAACTGTCGAACTAATTCAACTAACTGCAATTATCTGAATATTTATTTATATTTATGATTTTCGCCTAACAAAGCAGACACACTAAAAGTTTGAATAGTTAAAGTCAAATATTTAGCACGACTAGAGCTAGGGATTGGGCTGCATAATAGTTACTATTCACGCTTACGCCGAAATATAAATATAAATATTACAAATATTTAAGCGGTCCATCATTCACAATATGGTTGTAAAACATTGCCGAACCAAAGAGACACTATAGAGCATACTCTAAGGCAAAACGTAAATGACGTAATCGATAAGGTTTTGCGTAATCGACCATTGTTGGTCCATACACCAACCACGGCACCTTAACTATACGTCTGCACTTCGTGACTATTAAGAGGCTTAAGACTTTTGCAAGTCGTTGCGCTACTTATTTATTTGAGTTGCATGATAAAAATAGATTCGCTCGCCAGCGGAATTTCTCAAGTTGTTCCATTGGTGCCCACGCGAATTGCCGACATTCATTGACCTTGTCAAATAAAACGTTTCTCCAAAACTATTTCATATATTTAACATTCAATCATTCTTATTATAATAGTTTGTATGTGTTTACCCAATTAATAATTGTCCGAATGCATTCATATGAAGTTCCTAGCAGTGATTAAATCGGTTATGATTAATCTAGCTTCCTCTTCCTGTTACTGTCATATATATGCGCGGGTAGATTCGTCACGAAATTCAGTCATTACAAAGCGACTAGGACAGCGTTAACCAATGAAGTTTATACAACATAGCACAATGAGAAGAGTATTCGTCTTTCTTATTGTTTTATTTAATTTGTTTTACAGGACAGAAAGTCAGAATTCTAGTGCTCTTACTACTCCTAGTTTAGTGCCACGGATACCGTTCCCTCCAACAACGAGATTTGAATCAGCTAATCTATCATCTACAGATATTATTACCCATCTTCAAGTTTCGACTGATGCTCTATCAGGGCCTGCTATCACAAGAGTTCCAACGACAAGTACTGATGCTCTTCCAACTGGGCCTGCCATCACAAGAGTTCCAACGACAAGTACTGATCATGCTCTCCCAACTGGGCCTGCCATCACAAGAGTACGTCCAACGACAAGTACTGATGCTCTCCCAAGGACCGCCATCGTAAGATTTCCAACGCCAAGTGCGGCAAGTAGATCCACTCCATCCAGTACATCTCTGCCTAAAAATAACAATACAAAAGGTGAGCAATTGTGGCAGGGTAAGATAATTTTTACCATGACATCTTGGTGTAACATGATCTTTGCCAGCAGTATCCGTTGTGACTTGTGACAACGGCATTCATGAAAACTAGGTTTAAATAGATTTGTTATGTATATGTAAACTAGATAGATATGTAAAATACCCTACCGGTATATAGGTATTTTTATTAATTGTGGGAATGTTAACTTTTCTTATAGTTGACAAGTTGTAATACCCCCAATCCACCGCGTTTAGATAAAGACAGACGACTGACTGTACTTATTAGATTCACTCATACTCTATGACCGGCTATAGTCAAGTTATATAATAATTGGTCGAGAGCCATGATCATTGGTCGAGAACCATGATCTATTAGAGGACAGACGCACGGAATTGCGTCATATATAAGTTTTTAATGTCGAAAATATTTCAAAATTCGACAGGATTTATATAAATTGAATGAATTCATGCAATTAAATCTATAAACATCAATAAATACCTTCGATAAACGTGCAAAAACCACTCACAAAAGCTAGCAACTCGGCAAATCTCAATTCAGTCATTCAGATGCGACTTCAAAATCCAATCGGCAATCCGGTCTTCGAAAACAAATACTTTTTCGGTCATTTGACCCTGTCAATGTCTCGTTTTCAAAGCTGGTTTCTTCACTTTGTGCAACATAGGTAATGTTTAAGTGCTTTTCAATTGCGATAGTCGCTCAAAACAAAATAATTGCCTTTTTATCACACGTTTTTATTCCTTTAAAACAATGTTTTTTTCACTGTTTTGATAAATTTTAGTTTTTCCTTAGTTATTACCGTCTAGCGCATTCTAAGCTTAGCCAATCGAAATTCAGGACGTGATTTAAGCGAGCCAATAGCATTTCGTTATTTGCATAGATCATGCACGCGTGATATTTTCAAAATTTCGACTTAATCCAAATGTTTGGGGGAATAAAAATAAACTGTTTAATTCGGCAATTTTTTCAATTTTATTATAACAAATAGATTACATTTTCCCGTTGTCTGTTCAGTTATAGATACACAGTATGACGTCATATGTGGTGAGAACAAAAAGTGACCACTCGCCTAGGCGGCTCGTGACACTTTTTTTGTTCTTACCACATATGACGTCATACTGTGTATCTATAACTGAACAGATAACGGGAAAATGTAACCTATTTGTTAAATATGATATTCTGGATACTAAACAAATAAGTCATTGTATTATGTTTATGTTAATATTTGTGCACGATCATGGCGATTGAGATCATTGTATTTTTGTGAAAACAAGTAATCGTCCAATGGCGATAGCCAAGGTGAAACGTGAAACCAGGCACAGTTGAACATCAAATTAACAAATTAAGGTCTTCTATAGCCTCCTCCGCAGGCATCTCACCCGATGAATTGGGTGGTGGGAAAAAGTTTGTTTTTTCAAAACCCATTCGCAGGCTAAAACCCATAGAGAGGCCTGCGGAGGAGGCTAGGTCTTCTATTTTCTGGCTTTGAATCTTTGATGTTTCCCGGGCTGACAGACCATCATAGACATAATATCAAGACACGCTACGATTCACTTTATACAAAACAGCTGTAGATTGTGATATGATTCTATAGCGATAAATATATTACTCCCGTAGGGACCACTTTAACTTAACAGGCACAAATGCGATATACAGGGTGTCGAGGGTACCTATTTATCAAGCCAGGATTCGAGCCAGGACTCCACTCAGGACTCGAGCCAAAAATGACGTCAGGTGATTTTGACGGGTGGAAATTTACCGACAGTGGACACAGCGTTCTCACTTTTAATTAATTAAGGAACTTTCCTTAAACTGGGGGAAATTTAGACTATATTCGTTCACCAACAATGCGAAATGTTAATTTAAAGAAATTTAACTGAATCTGAGGAATTGTTTATCGATAACCTAAGGAATGTTTGGCAAATGGGTAGTGAGAGAATCAATTTCCCCATATACAAATTTATGACACTGAACATTAGTAAAATGTTCAAAACAGTTTTGTTGTGTAATCTTTGATGTTATTTATATACTCGCAAGTTGTGATCTACACAAGACCATACACAGTACTACGCTTTCTACTTGGCACGTTTGAGTAGCTGAGGAGATTGCAAATATTTGCACTGATAACATGACCGTGTTGTCAAAACGTTCTTAGTCGGGGACTCAGTTGTCTCAGCATAATTATAAAGCATGTAGGCAATGGCTTTATATTCTAGTAAACACGAGTCATATAATATTTAGCCTGTTATTCCATTTTTACCGTATGGTAGCGAAACGTATCATATTTATTTGTTCCAAGAGCATTATAGAGAAAAACTAATATGACTTAATTATAAACACAAAGAAGGAAATTTCTATAACATTTTCTATTCAGTACAAATGCGGTATACTTGGTAACCAGGCCAGGGACCACTTTTTTGAAACCAGGGACCATTTTACTGAAATCTGATAGGCTCTCGCGCTGAAGCGTTCGGCACATGCAGCACACCAGGCATAAAACTTATTTAATAAATTTATCAAAGCAACGTACTTATGTCAAGCTTTGATGCACTTGTGGGTCCAACCTGTATATTTTAGAGCAATCTCGATAACTTTGGTCAGTAAAGGCATTAACACAACATCTTTTATCCATGGTGGATCAATCAAAGTATATTTTCGCAAAGTATCATAATAAATTTGTGAAACCAGAAGAGTGTTAAAAATTCAGTATAATTATATCTAATCGTAATTTACAACTGTAGCACTGAGTTCAAAATGTAAACAATTCAGCGTTTGTTTACATTGCGGACTTTACAGCATCTTTAAACAACACTAGATAATGAAGCTTAATGAATAATGAGGTTTATCATCTCAATTATCTATTGTTTGAATTGCATTCGACGCGACCAAAATTCGACGTATAAAACAGACCTCAAGAACCAAACACCGAAACCTGAAGTCGCAGCGGCACACAGTGTGCGGGAACGTCTGATTGGTTGATGGATTTCAGTGGGTTCACTGATCAGTGATCATTGCTATTATGAGTTGGTAATAAAGATGAGTTAAGAGATTTGTGAGAGCGTTTTAATTGTAAGTAAATTGTAGGAATGTCAGTGTGACGGTTAAATGTTTGTTTGCGGCTTCTTTAAGGGGCGGACCATTAGAAATCCCGGGAGGGGGGGGGGGTATAAAATTTTTGCGGCACGAATTTTTTTTTCAGTCTCATGTCTCTGCAGGATTTTTTTTAATGCATTCAAGCTCTGCACGAATTTTTTTTCAAGACTATTTGTACTTTGCTGTTTGCCTTGCACAAATTTTTTTTCCCTGATGTAATGGCTGCATTTCTAATGGTCCGCCCCTAACTCAAAGGCGTGTTTTGTCGTAGCTTGTCTGATAGGCTTTTCATTTGAGACGAGTCAAATTTAATATGTTCAATATATAATAATGATTTCCTTTTCCCGTGTTTTATCCCTTTTAGGGCTTTTATCGTAGTTTGTCCTAGTCATGTCGTGCATGAAAACACTTTTCAACAGAATTCACACACACTGGATGTAATGATGATCAAACAAGACGAACGCATGTATTTATTTTTTACTTACCACAAAATAATACTATATCAATCATACTGAATAATAACTAAATAATACTATATCTATAATACTGATCAATCAAACAAGACAATCAAACAATCTATTTTCCACAAAAATGCAACATGAGCTCCATCTTTGAATTACTAGATGAATAAATTGTTGAACACGTCCGAATTTATCAATATGATAAATTCGCGGCACATTTTGAAATTATTAATAGAATAAATAAAAAAAGCACAAGGTTGTTCGCGCCGGGCTGGGGAGGTTTCAAAAAAGTTTAAACTGAAAGTAAAAAAAGTTAACAAAAGCAAAAAAAGTTTAAAAAAGTTAGATTCTGAAAAAAAGTTTAAAAAAGTTAGATTAGGGTTAGGGGTTAATTAGGGGTTAGGGTTAAGGTTAGGAGTTAGTTTAGGGGTTATTTAATTTGCTTTACATGACAGAAAGTCAGCATTCTAGTGCTCTTACTACTCCTAGTTTAGTGCCACGCAGTGGCGTAGCCAGCCCGACAATTTAGTCCCGCTATGCAAATTCAAATTGTATCTGTATTCCTTGCTATATGTCCATCATTAATCAGGTCAGAGACAGGGATTTTTTACACATAACCAAACTATTGGAAAAATTCCAGTAATATTATATTGAAAACATATTTTAAACGCGTCATTTTTAGCCAGAGAGGAGGTATATAACAGTATAATAATGTATTATGTGTAATGTGTAATGTGCTGGTGATTATTAACAGTTTTCACGTTTTCTTGCAGGATCCATCAGGACAGAAGTACCGGCTAATTCGCCCTGCTGGACATTTTACAATGAAAGTTATCTCCCACAAGGCAACATGGAGATCGCCCATTTTCAAATGCACCAACTGTATCCCTTAGTGTACACATATTGCTCTGCAAGTCTCCTACCATTGATGTGTTCTGTGTATGTGCCGAAGTTCGATCCAGCGACAGAGACCAATTTACAACCATGCGCGGATTTATGTGACCAGGTTGCCAATGATTGCCATTATGCAGCAAGTAAATTGAATTTCCGAATTACAACATTATTGAACAGATGTCGTGTGGATAATGCTCAATGTTTCCGTGAGTACATAGTTGCATAGATTCAGAAATCTGAGTTTGAGAAAGATGGGGTATAGGTGCATGGAAGAGTTTAAAACATAATCACCCCAAATTGTGGGTACATTAAAAAGCTGCAAAAGTGTGATCAGCTGTTTATCTGATGACCAAATACTGTACACTCTGAGGTATTTAATATAAAAATAATCCGTTTTTATCACACCGTACATGTCCATTCCTTATGATGTATCACGACAAAAAATCTCGTAAACCTCGAAAAAACCCCGAAAATCCCTAAATAATTCCTGAAAATCCGTAAGACGTCGCTACGAAATCCCAAAAATTATAAGCTTTTAATTAAGATTCATCACTATATGAACAGGCATTTATCTTTAATATTTCTATAGGACCGAATATATCGTCTCCAAGAAACCCATTGAGTAAGTATGAATTATTGCCAAAGCAAGAATCTTTAAAGCAGCCATGCATAACGACCGTTACTATGCTAGCCTGCGTGTATAAAAAAAAAACTGAACAGATTTGAAATTGCTCTCAATTTTGCAAAACGCCTAGTTGTATCCGGTTTTTTATATATATAACTTCTTTGGGTACTTATAATGTAGAATAATGAAAAAAAATTCTCGAACTCAAATTTTGTGAACCGGGGGGGGGGGTGTCTTTTCCAACAAACTAAAAATGGCTCGCGCACAAAATTTAAAAGTTGTAATCATATTTTGAGTTAATAGATGGACAATATATCGGGTTTTAATTACTGTACAAAATTTCAGACAATTTGGTTTAGTTTAAGCCCTTTAACTATTCATTTTATTCTAAAACATCAGCCTTTCGCATGCTTAATTAATGCCTTTACCTAATTTGCATATTGCTGACATATGCAAATTAGGCAAATGCATTAATTAAGCATGCAAATAGCTGATTTTTCGGGAAAATTGTAACTTTGCGTGAATAGTTAAGGGCTTAAACTAAACCAAATTGTCTGAAATTTTGTACAGTAATTAAAATCCCGACAAATTTTCCATCTGTCAACTCAAAATATGATTGCAGCTTTTAAATTTTGTGCGCGAGCCATTTTTAGTTTGTTGGAAAAGACACACCCCCTGGTTCACAGAATTTGAGTTCGAGAAATTTTTCTCATTATTCTACATTATAAGTACCCAAAGAGGCCATATATATAAAAAAACGGATACAAATAGCTGTTTTACGAAATTGAGAGCAATTTTAAATCTGTTCAGTTTTTTTTTATACACCCTGTATAGGTGTACAAAAAAAATATATATTGCCTCTTAGAAAATCTCCTCCCCCCAATCACTTTTCTAATGGTCCGTCTCTTAACTGTGGTCTCTGTATGGTAAGAATGGTTTTGTGAAAACTAGTGGTGACACCGGAACCGCGGATAGTTTGTTGCAGAAGACACGAGAAGACGGGTTTAACTTTAAACCAACAATGTCAACTGCCGGGCGAAGACAAACATAACCGCCGGTTTAAACGGTAAAAAAACAAATTCAGAAGAATGTAGAAATCGAGAAGAAGTAATACACACTTTCCAAATCAGTTTGCTGGCTGGCAATGGAAAAATAACGTACTCTCTGAAACGATTATGTTGTGCATGCACCGAAGCAAATTATTTTTACATTTGTACATTCTCCCGTACGAAAGTTGGACAGAATTAAGAATGTCATGAACCAATGGGATCCATGGTGCAAATAATGAGAATGCTAGATACTAAAGGGGGCAGGGGAGGGGGGTAATCGCTCCCAACCCGCAATTATTTCTGAAATCATTTCAGTTGAAATTTTACTTATTCGCTCAAACAAACTTGTATTTAAAGAGGAGAATTCAAGGCAATATTTAGGTTAAGTTTTCGGTTTATTACTGTGTTATGAAGACAAATATACCGTGTTGGCTTCTTTTGGTGTGTTTTGCTTATGAACTGTTAATAATAAAATGATTAAACACAAAACTAAATGATTAAACACAAAACTAAATGAGATCAAAGCGCATTATTAAACCTTCTGGAGTTATCTTCCACTGCGCATGCGCGGAGAGCCACGCCACGCCCCTGTGCTGGGGGTCTGCATTAGTCACTTTCTCATTCATCGCAAGAGTAGACCCGAGTGCGCAAGCAATCACCCATGCAATGCTCAAAAGTATATTTCAATTAGATGCAAGTACTCGCTGCACCGACATGCGACATCATTAAAATGCTGGTACGTTCCCCCATATATTATGCCTGCCTTACCAGTTGAACTGGTTACCCATATAACTCAATAATCAACAACTTGAATTCAGGGATGCACTTATGATTTTCAAGTTTGAAAAGTTTGCTAATGTCTGGTTTCCATATATGGTCGTAAAAATGGAGTCACAATCTTTCTCAACGGCCAATTGATAATAGTTTATACCTGTAAACCACATATAAATCACAAGTATTCTCTAGTCATCATGACTCCCCACCTATTTTCAGTTCTAAAATGTTGTATTTTGGCTGATGCGAAAGATCGTGACTCAATCTTTACGACCGTTACGACCATATGGAAACCAGCCTTAAGAGATGCAGGATCGTCAGACTCGCAACTATGACCTGGACAGTAATTTATTTCGGACAGCCACATGGGGAAAAACTTTCCACCACAGAGCTGTGAAGGTCTGGAATGGCCTACAGACAGCGATCTCAAACAAGTTCAGTCTTTAAAAATTTTAAAAACTGAGATGCTTAAAGAATAAAGCTACGTTGTTGTCTGGTGTCTCGATCATGAATAACTTTCAAAATATTTTAACGTTCTACAATCAGTGACAAAAGGTTTTTGGACAGTGATATAATATATACATATCTGCGCATTTCTAAATACTGTTCAGCATAAAACACTATCCCTCCCTCCGCCACCCTAAACAATGTTGGGTCGCTGCCAAGGAACATTTTGCGCGGGTATTTCCACGCACAACATTGAACGGGGGGTGCGGGGGGTTGATTATGTTGTATACGTAAAATTATTTTGCTATTTTGTCCAAAGTGTTTTGTCACTTATTGTATATATTGTCTTAAACTCGCCAAATCGATTTTTATAGACATGTATGGGTATTTTTCAATTATTTGTAGTAATTCTATATTGAAAAGCTCTTCGGGAAACAGCGCAAACACTGTATAAAATGTAAAGAATAAAGAATCAATTTTAATAGTAGGAATTCTCGAGTTGGCACCTTTTTAGGAAAAGTTTAGATCTTTCCAAATTTTCTAGAAATACATATATAGTTACCTCGCTAATCAATACAATTTTTTAAAGTTTTAAATGGATTTAAACTTGGAACTATACCCCCTCATCTGAACAAAACATCGCATGCAACAAGGTGTAAATACCATCAAGTGGGATCTAATCCCAAACCCGATTTCCAAGCAAAAGCAGACATAAGGAGATTGTTTGAAACGGAAACAGAATAGGTTTATAGCATATTTATAAGCATGATTACTGTGATATAATAGAATCTTACCGGAAGAGTATGTAGCTATTAAGGCATCACGGAATAAACTATGTGATATGGAGCATCCAAAAAGTCTTTGTACAGATTATACTTATAAAGCTATTTACAATTAGCTGTCGAATGTTTGTATCAATGCTATTCCAGTTTTCAATATGACTTTAATGAAACAGTTATTGCTACTAGGGTATAGCTAGAATATAAGCCTGGGGGCTCGGATGTAGACGTACTAGATGAGTATTATTAAAGATAGAATACTTTCACAAACTACACTATTGTATGTGCTGCCAATGCAAAATTTCACTGAAAGGCTAATAGTCTATGAGGTTTGTTGTGCCTGGCATTCCGACCATGTCAAAATGACATGATATACACAAGCATTCTTCTGCGCACCCCTTCATTTTACAGTGGCAGAGAAGGGGATCGATAGATAGTCCCCACCCTACCCTTCCAATATATTTTTTTCCGGAGGCAAATCTCTTTAAGAGTGTCATGTACTTCGACAAAAAAAAAAACGCAAAGTCCAAAACAATACATGTAAATCCACTTAATAATCTTTAAGAACACAAAAATTACCATTAAAATGTAAAATATGCTACTCTAAATTTAACGAACGCGTCCCGAAAATCTTTGTGGAAGCGACAAAATAGAAGACCTTTCTTTGACGTTGAGCTGGTCCTCACCGTGCACAAATCCTTTGTCTCAACTAATCAACTTCGTTCATCCCAGCTATCCTTCAATTGGACGGTTACTTCATTATACAAAAATAGGTACGCTGTAGCGTACATGGCGTCTATAGGATAACTATTTATCGTGAAACTTTCGTAAATGCGCGGATTTTAACCTAACCAAAGCCGCCTGTTCGCAGGAGAAATGAAACGTCCACTCACTCCACTGCATACATATATCTAAACTTCTTGTCGACAGCATATGGCGACTATTATATAATACCTTATTGAATTCTGATCGTTTAATTGGCTGTTCTATGGTCACGTGATATTGAATAGAAAATTCCATTTCCCAAGAGTGCAATGGAATACGTTCCATTGCACTCTTTGCGAGTGCAATTGTACTATACGTTTTATTCCATTGCACTCTTGGTGTTTTGAATGATTTGAAACATAATATTAAATGGTGTTTTAATAAAATGTTCTTGAAAAAGCAATATTATAGTCTATTTTGGTATTATATAAAACAAATAATGAATGTTTTTATTCGTGCAATGGTAAGACTGTCGGCTGTCGCCTCGTTGAATGGAACATTCCATATCTTTCACCTCATGAAAATATTCTTACCATTGCACGAATAAAAACATTCATTATTTGTATACTGTTCCCAAGACCGAAACTTCGGTAACAGGCCGTGCCTGGCGAACAGGGCGCTAAAATTTTTTTCCGGACAATGACCCCCATCGACAACTTTTTAGGGGAAAAAATTTTTCCGGCCGAATATGTTTAATCGCTTCCCTTGCCTTTTTTTCCACTGAAATTTCTCCATACATAGTTTCGGTAATTTGCCCAAAGACACAAATTTTTCAGTAATATTTTCGTAAATTTATCAAAATTTTCTCTACAACTATTACTTTTCTATCGAATTACAATTACATAATTTTTGCCCGACGAGCGTGTCAAACTTGCCCGACGAAACTACAATATTACAAGATTGGGAGTTGTCCCCGCCCCCTAATCCCCCCCCCCCCTAGTTTCCATCCTGACGGTTCCACTTAGACAAAAACATAATACAATGACTCGAGGGGTAAATTACTCTGAAAATCTTCGTACACTTCATCAAAAATAAAAAAAATGGAAAAATCCCAAAATCTTACTAAATCCCAGAATCGCTAAATCCCAAAACATCTCTAAAAATTGCATAAAATACTTGGAAAAAGCACAAAAAAATCTTCAACATTATTGCAATATTGGGAAATCCCATCAAATTTAAAATTTAAATCGTGAATTGGCGTCAAAATGCCATTCGTTGATTTCTTTTGTTTTAAAAAAATATTCGACGGATTATATGTCGCAAAAAAGTTCGGAAAAAGTTCGGTGAAAGAAAATACGGGAAAATATTTTCAAATAATCAACTGAAAAAATTCCAAAATCCCTTAAATTTGGGGAAATCCCAGAATCCCGAGAAAAATTGCCCAGCTTTTCTAGTCCCAAAAATCTTCGTACGCTTTTTTCAGAGTAATTTACCCCTCGCAATGACTTCTGTTCATGAGTTTCCAGACCATCGTATCTTGATAGAGTATCCTCTGTCGAATAAATATATGTGATCTACATCATATATGGATCACCAGTCAACATTGTCCCGGGCGTATTGGGGAATCCCAGAATCCCGAGAAAAATTTCCCAGCTTTTCTAATCCCAAAAATCTTCGTACGCTTTTTTCAGAGTAATTTACCCCTCGCAATGACTTCTGTTCGTGAGTTTCCAGACCATCGTATCTTGATAGAGTATCCTCTGTCGAATAAATGTATGTGATCTACATCATATATGGATCACCAGTCAACATTGTCCCGGGCGTATATAAGAGCTATATAATTGTGTTATATACTATACTTTGCTTTATCAGAAGATTGAGAACAAAAAATGTTGTATTACGGTAAAAAGTCGGACAAAATTCCCGGAAAGACCCACTAAAGAATTGCCGTGCAGTGGAAAGTCAAAAAATCTCGTACACTTTCATTTGATGTTTATAAAGAATTTTGATTTAATTGCTCATGTAATTAGTTCTGATGCAATTTAACCATTTTGGTTACAATATCACCATAAGAGGTTACAATATCACCTCTTAGATCCACTCATAGATTTAACGTTGCATTTCAAACTAACCGTTTTAATGAAATAGTTTTATTATACACAATGCATTAAATTATTCATCATAAAATTATTAGAACATTCTTAGATCCTTTTATAGAGACATTTAGTTGTATAGTATTTTAACATTTTCTTAACTTGTAAATATAAGCGTAATTCAGCCTATTGGCTGCAATGTTATATCAAATAAACCATCTATCTATCTATCAATCAGAAATCCCCCCCCCCTCGACTATTTGGCAACTGTGTCTGCCATTCTAATTAACATAACAGGATTTCACAGCAACGCATTTAGCTATATAGAGGTCTAACGCAACGGGATCCGGACTGAATGAGGACAACCGCGATGAAACGCTTTAACTATAATTTGTTTAAAAAGTTTATCCATCGACACACTGCTGGATATTCGAACATTATTTTTTATACATGAGCAAATTAATTGAGCAATTCAATTCATGGTGTGTTGCTAGGGCAGTATCTGTGTCATTTACCTTTGTGACCGCGCACACTGATATCAGACCTGGCAAGTTCGGAAGATAAGAGTGCGTGACCAGGGCCGTTGCGAGGACTTTGCCTTTGGGAGGGGAGAGGTTAGATTTACCGCCTGAATTGTTTCAATTCACCTGATTTTGCGACGCCCGCAAGGCGCTATCATGGTTGGCGCCGAGCAAATAGCATTTTTAGAGTCTTTCCAATCCTACCCAAGATTTCAATGTTTTACTACTGTCTAACAATGAAGATAAGTAAAATCACTACTGATCAATATGACAGTGTTACTTACAGTTTAAATGTGATTAGGAAAATTGAGAAAATTTTTGAAATTTGGAGTCTCCAGATCGTCAGAAAGCGTATTTGGCCATGTACCCCCAGGCCACGATGCGTCTGAATGTCTTTATTTGGTCGGTCGATTGTTAACTCTAACTACGCCTTTGGCACACAGCGTTGTCAATGAGTTATTGTACGAAATTGTACGAAAAGTCAATAGCGTCATATAGTGGTAAAAAATGCGTAACTTTAAGATCATTTTAGTGATGCGTGCGGGACAGTGGGAATAAAAGCAGAATGCGTAACTTTCACGCGAAATGCGGGAACCTTGGCAGGTCTGTTGTGATATTCAATTCCTGTCTGGCTAGCTGAGTCTACCTCATTGATCTGCATAAACGAAGTCAATGCATAATTGAAGCAATGTGATCACCGCTGACATAGCAGAAAAGTGATGTTCTCGCTCACTAGTTGGTTTATATAAATAAATGCAACGCCCAGTCGAATGAATGATTCCTGCAGCTATAGACGAAATTTTGATCTAGAGAAGAAAAACGAAATCCATTACCAGAGCTGGAAAGAGCATCTTAAAATGAGTAAAATTGCGAAGTTTCGTTGCGAATTGTTGTAAAATGAGGAAAATATAGCCTTGGATAAAGTTCGCAAATTTTGTATATATTTGCATTACGCGCGGGAAAAATAACCATTTATGAGCCGAAAGTGATTTTTTTACCGCGCGTAATTCAAATAATTGCATACAAAATTTGCGAACTTCACATGCAGTGCTATATTTTCTTCATTTTACAACATTTAGCAACCAATCTTTGCAGTTTCACTCATTCTAAGACGCTATTTCTAGCTGTGGTGTTGGATTTCGTTCTTCTTGCCTTGACTACTCATAGTAGCGTTTAGTGTCTTCACCAGGGGTGGAACTTTAGATCACCTATAAGACGAAGACACTAGACTGGAGTGTCGAAACGTTGGGTCGTGAACTGTTTAGAACTGATAAGGATATTCTGCATAAATATGATTAGTTCATGTGTAGTTTGAAGTCTTTTCTATATTAATAATAGACCAATTAGAGGTGGTCCTTAGGGGAACAATTTAGAACTGATATAGAGATATCAATGCATTTAGAAGATAGGTATATCTTATATCCGCGCTGTTTTGGCGCCACGCCTTTGGCGATTCTACTCCTCAATAATGCTCCACTATTATTACTGAAAAGCAAAATCCATTCATATGTCATTCATCATATAACGCAATGAATGGTTGTATATGCAAATGTTTAAGCGACATGAACGCCTCCTTTGGCCATTCATACTCTTTCATGAATAGAAAAAACACATTTTCACATTTAATCAAATTATAATATTTTACCTACATCCCACAGCTACAAGTAACTATAGATGATAACTGTGGTCTAGTCGTAAAATTTTAACAGCTCATAATCTTTAATCCGTTAATTAAAGCGCATGCAAGCTCTCCCCTTGACGTGTAAATTCGTCTGTCGTTATATAGACAGGGTAAAATAATACAGTAGGGCGCATTGTATGGCTTAAAACACTTCAGTCCGTGCATGTATTTTAAGTACTATATCCAACACGAGTAAGTGTTCTTCCTCTGATATCTAAGTACAAACAAGCAGGTTGAAAATACGAGGCGAAGCCAAGTTTTTTTAACCAGCTTGCGGTCTGTATTTAGAAATCAGAGGAAGAACATTTGCGAGTGTTAGATATAGCTTCTCAAACGAATCAATACTTTAAGAGAAAATGGATTTTAAAGTTGACGAAAAACGGATGTAATCTTCCTCTTATTTCTAATTAATATGCATTTCTCATGACTACTTTATAAACATGCTACTTTCGTAAAGCATAATTCATATATTGAGATTTGTGCCGTTACCACATAAAGATTATAACTCGCGAGTATATAAACAGAAAATATAGATGTGGTTATATTGGAAAATTGTTATAATTTATCGTGAAAAATTGTTATATAGTTTATATTTTGATTTTCGTGCTATAAAATTAAGTTGGCCAAGATAATACCGAAACTGTTAACCTAAAATTGTGCTGAGTCTAGTGAACTCAAACGAGAGGTCAAGCCAAATTTCAACAGGACCAACACTCTCTGGCTCTTAAAATAATTGGTCAAAAAAAGATAATCCAAGTTGCATGACATGTCAGTTATCGTGCGCTAGTTCACATTTAGAGATTCACTTTTTAAAAACTTAGAGAAAGATCTTTTAGCTGTCAAGCGACATATTGCTTGTATCATTGCGATAAAAAATAGCCAAATATACGATCAGATTTATAAAGGTGGTCCAAAGCGCACTTTTCCACCCTTTGAAACTAAATTTCAACTTTCCAACATATGCCCAAATTGTGGTTGCTTGCTGTTTGGGAAACGTTGAGTCTACAAACTTCCAGATTCACAAAATGTTTTAATTAACCACTATAAATAATAATACCACAACACGCGGGTTTAGATCGTTCTGTAAAGAACACTTTAAGAACAAACTGGCTAAGATGACTGAATTGAACACAAAAAGATTATATTAATATAAAAACTTTAATACTGTTGATAGTTATAGATTGTTAATGTTGTGTGATTGTGATGTATCTGTGACTGTATATCCTACGTTTCTAAAGAATGTTAACTGCATGAGTATTGTAATCACGTGATGTAATATATTTCTAGAACTTAAGAGGACCAGATTGGAAACAAGCTGTACTGTAGCTTTATCTG